AAACCGAATAGTTATTGCAAACAGTGTAGCCCATCACGCTCTTTTTATCTCTCTCTTTCTCTCTCTCTATCACACACATACGCACTCACTGACTCAAGAGAGAGCCAACGCAAGAGACTTATTTTTGTATGTTGATGCACACTATAAAAACAATTCGCAATAGCTTAATTATAATAATTATTCGTTATCTATTAAAAATTTGATTGAAAATAATAAAATTATATACGTTTTGTTAACTTTGCATTAACACCTTTGGCTTACACAAACATATACATGAATATATATATATATATATGTTTGACTAATGCTTATATACACTATATGCAATATATATATATATATTTATGAATGATTTATTTAATTTCGAAAGGGCAAAATAAGCTTTTGCTGCTGTATGTCTGTGTGTGTGTGCGCGTGCGTAAGTCATTTGCTTGGAAGACCTTGGGAAATTGAAAATCACAGACAATCCCAGAGCTACTATATAGCGAGAAATGAGATACTAGAGTGTTTGCCCATAAAAACAAAATATATGTATGTACGTGAGTCTATATAAATATTTAAGCACTTAGGCGGCACCCACACTCACAAATAAAATGTATAAAAAAAAAAACAAGAACAAAAAACAGCAACAATATATTTCATCTGTTGCCGGTTCTAATGCTCTGCACCTTCTCACACCCACACATGCCAAATAAAAAGAAAGAAACGAAATAAAAAGAAACGTAGCAATTACTGAGAGACAGCTGTGTAGCATTGATGACGTCGCCGCAGCTCTTATTGTCGCAAAGCTCAACAAGTCGAAAGAGTGAAGAAAAGGCCTACAATACACACACACACTTGCGCACTAGCATATCTGTATATGCACACGGAAGTGTGTCCCATTAAAGATAAATATTTGAGTTTCAGTTCGAGCTGACTTGGCAGCACTGTCAAAAACGACTCAAAAGCAAAACGAGCTAACTTATTAAGCTAGAAACGAGAGATGTCAATTAGCACCTAACCGCAACATTTTATAAATGTATGTGTTGCATATACACAAATATATTTATACACATACGTACATACACATATATTATATATATATGTATT